CTGCGTGCGTGCCTGCGTGCGTGTGTCCGCCTGCGTGCGTGCTTGTGTCTGTGCGTGCCTGCCTGCCTGCGTGCCTCCGTGCGTGCTTATGTGTCTGTGCGTGCCTGCCTGCCTGCGTGCCTCCATGTGTGCTTATGTGTCTGTGTGCGCCTGCGTGCGTGCCTGCGTGCGTGTCCGCCTGCGTGCGTGTGTCCGCCTGCGTGCGTGCTTATGTGTCTGTGCGTGCCTGCCTGCCTGCGTGCCTCCGTGCGTGCTTATGTGTCTGTGTGCGCCTGCCTGCGTGCCTGCGTACGCGTGTGCCTGCTTCTGCGCACGCGCTCCCTCGCTCCTTCGCTCCCATCTCCGGGGAGGTCCCCGAGTCCTCTGTCCGGCGTCTGTGCGGCTCAGCGTCTCGGATGAGCAGCGACACGTCGCCCACAGCCTGCCTCGCTCGCCCCTGGGGACAGAGACGTCCGACCTGGGCACGTCCCGTGTCGGGCACCCGCAAGCCCCGGGGTAGTGGCCCCGTCGGCCCCGTCCCACCTTCCCCCGAGTGACCCTCCTGCGGTGCTCAGTGCGGGGACGAGGGGCTGAACCCGGGCTGGTGTTGGGGACTTGGGCCGCGGTTCCCTTGGGCGGCCGCCCCGCATCTGTGCCTCTGCCCCGGAGTGTCCGCAGCAGCTCGGCCAGGGGACTGCCCGAGGTGACGCGCCGATTTCCGCAGGAGCAGGGCCCCGAGGTCACTCGTGTACCCGCGGCCCGCACAGGGGCTCCGAGGACGCTGCTGGCCCAGCTGTGGCCGCAGAGTTTGAAGCCCGCAGGGCAGGCGGGAGGTGCAGGAGGCCTCGGTGTCGCAGCTGGAGGGCCCCTGGAGGCGGAGTCTTCCCTCCTCGGGGACGTCAGTGTTCGCGCTCGGTCCTTCATCTGATTGGATGAGGCCCACCCGGTTATGGCGGATAGGCCGCTTTATTCAGGGTTTATCGATTTAAATGTCAGTCTCATCCAAAAATGCCCTCGCAAAAACGCCCACAGTAACATTTGACCAAATACGTGGGCGCTGTGGCGGCACATAACGTCCCCAGCACGTAACGTCACCCAGCACAGCTTGGTTGGAAATCTGGCGTTTAAAGTTAACCGAGCCCGTCAGCCACGGCCGTCCAAACACGCTCTTATTTGAGGGTCGCTCCACCCGCCTCCGTGGGCGGACCCGGCAGCGCAGGTGACCAGCGCCTCCCTTCCTGTGTGTGGAAATGATCCAGGGACATTTGACGTGGGTGGGTGGCGAGAGGCACCTGCACGGGAGAGACCAAGGGCAGCCGCGCTCACCGTGACGGCAGAGCTGTCCCCTGTCTCCCATCTGCTGCTGACCTCTGGGCCTCAGTTTCCCAGCAGTCTTGTCAAACTAGCTTCCTGTGTGAAGTAACAAAAATGATTCCAGTTGTTAATAAAAGTAGTCGCTAATCAGGCAGGTAACTTGCTGCAGCCTTTCCTGGTCCCCAAGGGCCCAGTCCCAGTTCCTGTGCCCTTGGCCACTGCAGGCCAGTCTCTAGGGTCTCCGGGGAGCATGGCGGGCCCGGGAGCGCCGGGGGGCCCCGACAGGGTCCAGGGCTCATCTGAGAGCGGGGGTTCTGACTTGCTGTCTTCTTTCAGCAGCGGCGAGTCCTTTACACATGCTGGCCACCCATGCATCGGCCTCAGCGTCCCTGCCCACAAAGCGTCAGAACGGTGACCAGTCAGAGCAGCCAGAGCTGAAGCGGGTCAAGACAGAAGATGGTGAAAGCATCGTCATCGCCCTGAGTGTGGACACTCCTCCAGCAGCAGGGAGGGAAAAGGGCGTCCAGAACTAGCGATGGGCAGAGCTTTCCTCACTTAAAAACATCAACTTTGTGGTGCCAAAAGGAGACATTGCCTCTCACCGATCCTCAGAGTGCGTCCTCTCTTCGGTGGGTAAAGGGCCCTGCGGTTGGACTTCATCTCTCAGCACTGAAAACACAAAACCCAGGTGGCCTTAAAACTCCTTAATTTAAAGACAAAAGTCACACTTGAACAAAAACCACACACAACAAAACCTGGTTCCAGAGATAGCATCTCCCCTGCCGGGCACTCGCCGGCTGCCGCCTTTAGGCTGAGCTTTTTAACTGCGAGCAGAAATTCGTGGTCCTTCCTCGAGGACTGAGCATCTCCATCCGAGGATAGCGTGGCCAGCACCTGGTGCAAGCGGAGCTCCCGGGACTGGGCCTCCTGGAGGGGACAGGGCAGGAGCCGCCCTGGCTTCCCCACAGGACCCGCTGGCTGGCAGTGGGAGGCAAGACAGTATTTCGTTGTGTACACGTGGATTTAGAATATTTTGAGGTGTACTTTCTTTACAGAATGATGGGGTCTTTGGCATTTCACATCACTCCATTTCTACTCTGGAAATTTTGGAATCACACAGGATCTTTCATGTGGATTTCATTTGGGGAGAAGAAACAACCTAGTTTTGTTCGTTTTTGTTGTTTGTTTTCAGCCTACGGAATGATTTGCTTTTGTCTGTCCTGTTAAAGTTTAGGTGGAGCTACTTTATGATATCTGCACATTTTCCGTAGAGCAGTTGCCTGATAAATTTAATCCACCTCCATTTCAGTGTGTAGGGTGGACGGTGGACACCGCGGCTGCATGTACCGTGAGAATCCGGGGACGAGCCGGGGACGAGCAGGGGACGGGAGAGAACTGCTGGGGCTCATCCGACTGCACTTACCTGTTCTCTTTCTTGCTATTTTTTGTTGTTTGTTTCCTTGTGTTGACTTTGTCCCTGGCATAATTTCCACTCTAAGTAAAACAAGTCTCCTAAATATTGTGTATGTTTAAAACAACAGAGCTATTACTACATTTGGGAAAAAAGATTCAATCTTTTATCACACATCCTTTCAAACAAAGATCTCTCCGTGGTATGTTTGACATTACAGGTGTCATCACCGGCTCTCAGCGCTGTCCGACCACTGTCCGCACAGTGATGCTGAGGTTGCCTGGTCCTGGCAGGAGCAGCTGCGGGGAGCGTTAGCTGCATGTTAGCACGAGGCTCTTGGAAGCAGCGCCCTGCGGTTAAGCACTGGAAACATCTAGGTCGTTTTCTGATTTGCAATAGGAAATTCCTCTGACTTCCAGAACTGAATCCAACACTAAGGCTGGTTTCTCTTCTACAGAAAAGTGAAAGGGGGGGGGGGGACAGAGGGGACAGTAGACGGGGGAGACCCTGCACAGCCCCAGCCCAGG